ATGGCAATGAATTGGTTTTGAGTGTTTTGAGTGACTGGTGTGTCGTTTGAGGTTAGTTTCATTTTTTCATGTGTATTCTATTTAGTTTCTTAGAGAATAGGCAATAAATTATTTCAAAAAATGTTTGAGTAGGTGAATATCATATTGCAGATTATGTTTGTATAATTTCAAGTTTTATGCTTGATCCTGATTTGTATGAGGCAGATAATGTAAGAATAATATAAAATCGCTTTGTGATGAGTATGAGAGAGACTGAAAAGCTAAGTATTTTTAAAAAACTAAATATCAATTATTAAAGTATTGTATTTTCTGCTGTTCATTTTTTTTTACTTTATTGTTGTTTAAGTTAGAAATAACATAATATATATAAATATTAAATTTGTCTATAGATATGCGAGATAGATATGTATGACAGAAAGATCAATGAGTCCAATACTATTGAGGTTGAGATAGATATACCCTAAAATTTGTTAATAATTGAGTGTGCAAATCCCTTGGCGCGAAGTTTCTTGAGTTTACTTCTGTTAATGGTAATTTATACGGAACCATCATTGAATCCATTTATCTTTCTGATTAGGAGAAGTCAGAAAATTATTTAACTCCGTAAAATCAAATAATAAGAACCAGCACTGACTCTGCAGTTACATGTATTTCATATTAATGTAAGCATGTTTGATATTTAGACGTATGTATTAATGTTTTTGGATGTACTGATAAATTCTATTTTATTATTTATATATGTATAATATTATTTAAATCAATTATTTATTATGCACTTCGGCCCGCACATGGCGCGGACGAGACACCTAGTTTATTTTAAATAATGTCGGGGTTTTTCTGGAGTTTGCGTAACTTTAACTAATCAGAAAAACATTCCATAGTAAAGAAATTGATACAAGAGAGTTCGTTTCAAAACGCGTCAAAGAAAGCAAGGCATCAAGTATAGCTTCAAAAGTGTGTCCGAATTGGTCTTTAATGACCAACCAGAGCCGTGTCTACTGTACAATCAAAAAGGCATTTGCCTCAGGTAAGCAAATTATAAAAATAATTTTGAGGAACTTTATTACCAGAAGATGTTGTATCCAAGTGGTAATGTAGAGAATGCTCATACCTACCTCAGTTTCCTTTTTCTTTTCTTTTTTTTAAGAGAATTGAGAAAAAGACAAATCTATTTACATACTTTTCAATTTTTATATCTAAAAATGACGAAATTTGCTGTAATGTTTTTAAATTTATTAACTTAACATCTTGTAATTATAGAATTTTATCAATAGTTAATAAGTGGTGCTTATTTGATATATTTATCATTATTTTAAAATTATATTTCTAAAATCATATCTATACCCAAAAAAAAGATAAAAATGATGTAACTATTAAAACCACAACAAAGTTTTTTCATGTTTTAATAAAAAAATTTTTTTTTTTAATATTCGCCTCAACTTTTACTGAAGGTAGACACGACACTGTGACCAACTATGAATATAGTCAACAAAGGAGGATCTAGGTGGTCTGGAAAGAGGGGGTTAGACTTACGCCAATATTCAAGAGTGATCAAGTGATCGCGGTTTCGGTTCTGCTAGAGGGATAGAGGAAATAATTCTTCTGTTCTTTCGTTTGTGCATTGAATTTGTACGAGGAGCGAAGGGGACTTTGGGATGACCTTAAAAGTCATCATGACTCTGCAATGTTTTATCAAAAGAACTAGATGATGATGAGTGATTTCAATGATAATCTAGTGGGGGATGAGTATTCCCTATACGAGAACTCCCCACATATATCACAAGGAACCAAAGACTTTCAAAATCTCACACGGCATGCTTGCTTAAGGATTTACACTTCCATAGGCCTAAATTCACTTGGTACAACAAGCGTGAGGAGGGCTTGATATGTAAGAAATTGGACTGTGTGCTTGTTAGTGAGGAACGTATTCAAGACTTCTCGGGTTCCTATTGTGTATTTGAGACAGGGGGTGCTCTGATCATAACCAAATTTATATAGTTTTATTTTTGGTCGGAATATTTCATGCAAATTTTGATAAATAATTGTAGTAATTTTGGTCACAACATTTTTCTGCAACAGTTTGGATAAAACTGTTACTGATTATTATTGTATTAATTTTTGATACAGTCATTTTGTTATTAATTTGTAGCAATATTGCTACAACTTTAATTTGTAAGTAAAATGTTGCTATTTAGTTACAAATTCTCACCAGAATGCTACAATTTATAAACTCATTTTATCTGTTACTAATTTGTATCAATTTGTTGCAAATTTTGCTACAAATTTTTGTAGTCACAAAAATTGTAATTATGTCCAACAATTTTGTAGTGTTAAGAAATAGAGTAAAGATGAAGGGGGTTTGAAATTCTCCTCTACAGAGTATGGATTTGTCTCCCCAAAAGCTCTCAATCAAAATCTCTCTCTTATGTCTCAATGAAAACAAGATAATAGCCTAACAATGGCTTAGAAAACCTAAATACAACTCTAAACACGAACTAGGGAAATATTGCAAATAATGGAAACTTATGGGTCAAGCTGCAATTCTTCAAAAGAGTTTTTAATGCTCCTTCTCACGATCACGATCAGTGTCGATCGACACCCTATGGTTGGTGTCGATCGACACTATACTATAGAATGCTCTCCGACTTGGTCTTTACAGCATCAGCTTCAACATAGTTCCAAATGGCTCAAAAACTCGCAGTTATGCTCCAAACGTACCTAGACCTGCAAAAACTCTATAGGATTCGAAAAATACCAAAAAGGACTATAAACAAGACTTATATCATGGTCAAAAACCAGTAAAAATCATGATATATCACTATACAAACATAATTGAAATGAAAAAAAAAATCTAAATTAATTTGAACAATAATCATGTGTTTCAATTGTAGTCATATGTTTGATAAGTTATTTTTTTTTAAATGAAAAAAATGTTTTAAATTAAATAAAAAGAAAACTTATAGTTGTTGAAATCAATTATATATCAAATTTAGTTTTAACAAAAACTAATTTTAATAATACTTTAAAAGTTGGTGGACATCAATTAGTTTATATACAAATATTATGTTTTAGATTAACAGTTAATTTTCACATATATTAAGTTAGTAAATTTTTAAATTAAATCATAATACATTTTTGGAATACGTTAAAATCTTTTAGATGTATAACCACATCAAAATAATATTGAAAATCAAATATTACATTTAAAATATTGATTTAAAGTTAAAATAATTTAACTGAAATAATAATTATATATTTATAAAAATAATCCACGCGTAATGCAGAAATATTTCTAGTAATCATAATACTGTAAATTAAATTAAGTAAAGAATTTAAACAAAATGAATTAATGATGCATCACAATTCTAAAAGATATGTTGCTGATACTTCTTAAAAATAGATTATATTCTACTTTATATATAAAAGATCGTTATAAAGTTTTAGTGTAAACTTTGATATAAAAATTATTATTTATCTTAATTTCGATTAATTATATAAAAAAGTTAGTTATTGTATAAATTTTTTATATTTAAGCTAAGAAACAATAAAAATCTATATAACCAAACGAATTTAGGTGAATGAATTTGTTTGTTTTTGTTTTTCAATTTGAGGAAATATTAAAACCATTTATATGTACTGAAACGGATAAAAAAATGATACAATATTGGTTTTAACTTCAAATGATCTCTTGTTTTTTTTCTTAAAGAACTTGAAATGATCATCTCTTAGTCTAAATTTATCCAGAGATGTGTCGTGCTGCTGCATCAATCGATACAATCGATCATACAACACTAATACACATTGACTTTTGCAGCAACTATATATAAAACATACTATTCAATAATAACGATGATTTTCCTGATCGTTACAGCTATTTAAATAATCCTTATGTAAGCTATGCATTAACTGTAAAATTGTTTTGAATACTATTTGATTTCGAGTATATACTTTGATGCGTAGAATAAAATGTAAAGTACGTACGAATACTATGGATCATTTTTTAAGTGGAAGCCTTGTTACTTGGATTAATTTGACCTACAAATATCTTGCTCTAATCCATGATCTAACCAAAATTGTTTGGAAATATATACAATATTTCATTTTTTGTTTCTAGTAATGTTCTTGAGATATTAATTTTCTTTTATGAAAATGGCTGACTTTTATGGAAAATGATGGTTTTAATTAATCTAAGTAGTAACTTTCAAAACAAAATTAAAATAAAATAAAGTAGACTTTAGTATGGAGAAATGTTTTTCTTTTGTTAAAGTAAAACACGAAGCCTTAGTTTGGAAATACGCGATAGGTCATACGATAACTTGTTATAGATCGTTTCCAATAAAAGAAAGTTGTAACATGGACCCTCATGAAAGTTAAATAATTAAATATCGTTTAATGAAAGTCAACTCGATCTTTAGTAATTACATGAGAATAAAAAATCGAATTAAACATTAACTTTTTCTTTATCTATAAAAAACAGAGGACTGTGAATGTAGGTTGTGACTTTTTCTTTATCTATATAACTCCTTAACAGTCATAATTTACCGCCCTCCAACTTTTTTTTTAATTAACTGAAGTATTGCAAACCCTAATCTTTGAACCCAATGATGAATCCTTCAGTTTTATCAGCACATTACTGTTTTGTAGGTTATATCTTCGTCCGCAGGCCGTTTTATATTTCTAGATTACATGCAGAATCTGGCGAATGATATAATTAAAACAATTTCCATTTGTTCTAATATTTCAGAATAAGTTACATCTTAAAAATACAAAGATTGCACACCGATTATATGTATCCTTTTCTGTCGCTTGTTAAACGGAAGATATAGTATGTGCAGACCATAACATAGCCAGAAGAGCAAGTTAAACAAGTTAATAAAGTGATGGAAGAAAGATTAAAATAAAATAAAATTATGGATATACTCTGAAGATGCCGGAGACTATTCTTCTCCGATCTCCTCTATAAATTTCAGCCGCCTCAGCTACAACAATCACAACCACAACCTCTTTCTCTCTGTCTTTCTCAATAGTTCTCTCTTGCCTCATCCTCTGCCACCATTAACATAACGTGACGGTGAGGATAGTTACGAATTTATTATTATAATTCAACTAGATTCACACACAAAACACATAATATATACGTATATATGTATACACCCATATATATATATGTTCAAAACTTTTTTGTCTGCACTCGCTTATATTATTTGATTACGTATAGTTTTAATTAGCTTCAATTAAAATATTTTTCTGTTAGTTGTATTAGTACCATATTATCATAGTAGTACCTTCTTTAAAATAATTACAAGACAAGATTTTTAAAACAAACTATTAATTTTGTGTGCGTGAAAGCAGGAGACACAAGAGAGGCAGAGATGGCGGAGCAACAGCTAGGAGTGCTCAAGGCACTCGATGTTGCGAAGACACAACTTTACCATTTCACGGCGATTGTCATCGCCGGTATGGGATTCTTTACGGACGCCTACGATCTTTTTTGCGTCTCTTTGGTGACAAAGCTCCTTGGCCGCATCTACTACTTCAATCCGTTATCAGAAAAGCCTGGCTCACTTCCCCCTCATGTTGCGGCCGCGGTCAACGGTGTGGCCCTCTGTGGGACCCTTGCCGGTCAGCTCTTCTTCGGATGGCTCGGTGACAAGCTCGGAAGGAAAAAAGTATACGGTATCACTTTGATCATGATGATTCTCTGCTCTGTTGCTTCCGGTCTCTCCTTCGGAAACCAAGCCAAGGGTGTCATGACCACTCTTTGCTTCTTCAGGTACAATTATTGTGTTCAAAACTATTCTTACCATAAAATTGATACCATTATACAAGCTTGAGAGACTTGGTTTGTATTTCGATCTTGAATATTGATAGTTATGTATAGGTTTTGGCTTGGATTCGGAATTGGAGGTGACTACCCTCTTTCTGCCACCATCATGTCTGAATACGCCAACAAGAAGACTCGTGGTGCTTTCATCGCGGCTGTGTTCGCCATGCAAGGTGTCGGTATCTTGGCAGGAGGTTTCGTAGCACTTGCAGTTTCTTCCATATTCGACAAAAAGTTCCCATCCCCGACCTATGCGGAAGACAGGTTCCTCTCAACGCCTCCACAAGCTGATTACATTTGGCGTATAATTGTCATGTTTGGCGCTCTACCCGCGGCCATGACCTACTACTGGCGTATGAAGATGCCCGAAACTGCCCGTTACACGGCTTTAGTTGCTAAGAACATCAAACAAGCGACGCAAGACATGTCCAAGGTCTTACAAAAGGATCTTGAGATTGAAGAGAGGGCGGAAGATATCATTCAAGATCCCAGACTTAACTATGGCTTGTTCTCCAAGGAATTCCTTAGACGCCATGGACTTCATCTCCTTGGAACTACCTCAACTTGGTTTTTGCTTGACATCGCCTTCTACAGCCAGAACTTGTTCCAAAAGGATATCTTTTCGGCTATCGGATGGATCCCAAAGGCGGCTACCATGAACGCCATCCATGAGGTTTTCAAGATTAGCAGGGCTCAAACTCTCATCGCGCTCTGCAGTACTGTTCCAGGTTACTGGTTCACGGTTGCGTTTATTGATATCATCGGAAGATTTGCAATCCAGCTAATGGGATTCTTCATGATGACCGTCTTTATGTTCGCCATTGCCTTCCCTTACAACCACTGGATCCAACCGGACAATCGTATTGGATTCGTGATTATGTACTCTCTCACCTTTTTCTTCGCCAACTTTGGACCAAACGCAACCACTTTCATTGTACCGGCTGAGATCTTCCCGGCCAGGCTAAGGTCTACATGCCATGGAATATCAGCCGCGACAGGTAAGGCTGGAGCCATTGTGGGGGCTTTTGGGTTCCTCTACGCGGCTCAGCCACAGGACAAGACCAAGACCGATGCAGGATATCCACCGGGCATTGGAGTCAAGAATTCATTGATTATGCTTGGTGTCATTAACTTTGTTGGTATGCTCTTCACTTTCCTCGTCCCCGAGCCCAAGGGCAAGTCCCTTGAAGAACTCTCCGGCGAAACTGAGGTTGAGAAATGATTACGTAATGTTGTTTGTGGTCTTTTTATTATTATCTTTCACTTTCCAGTTTTCTTATTCTCTTTTGTGTGATGCACTAAGTACGAATGTTTTGTGATCTGGAGTACTTCCATCTCACCGCCCTGAGTGCAAATCTTGTGATCGACATTTTGTTTTGTTCTAATCAACAATGTCAATGAAATCTTTTTAAAATTTGATTTTCCATTGTCACCAATTATGTTTGAGTTTGACTTCCAATTATTTCTTGGAATCTGCAAACTCATTCTGCATGCACATTTACATTGATTCGTTCTAATTTTATCCTCACTTCTTTTTAATTATTTATAAATTCGATTATAATTTTATTTTCACTTCTTTTTTAATTATTTCTAAATACGCATAATCGTTAAATACTAGTGACTTGATAGGTGGTTCTGGCCATACATATACTCTCTGGCCAAAAAAGGTCGATAAGTGGTTCTGGCCAGACATAATCTCTGTTTTGTAGCCGAGTATCAATGGAACACGAATTTGTGCCCAGCATTAATAAGCCAAAGTCAGACAAAATAAAACGCCAATCAATGGAATATAGCGACGTTCGCATCTTAGATCAATCAATCCACACAAATTGTATATATGTTTCGTTGATTTCAATAGAATATCGACATAGCGTTGCTTTTTGTAACTAAATTTTCAAGATACTGAATTATGTACTAGTGATGTAACAATATCATACCCCGGATTTAAGTCTATTAGTGTATCCGTGTGAGATGTATTTGTTAAAATAAAAAACAACGTTAAAGTATAAAAGCACGAATTTGACATTTATTTTACGAAGGGTTTTGCATTATTATTTTACAAGAGATCATATGGACGAAATAACTATATAGTTATGGTTAAGGGCCTTAAGGCCAAAGTCTTAAGCCCTAAGTTTCTTCCGGAGGTCGAGACAACAGACGAGACCGTCTCATCATTTACATTCTCTCCCGAAAGTTCCTCAAGAGACTTTCCTTTAGATTAAGGGACTAAAACCGTCATGATCATACCAACAAAGTTAATAACACCAAGCATGATCAACGAGTTCTTGACACCAATACCCGGTTGATATCCTGCGTTTGTCTTGGTTTTATCATTTGACTGAGCCGCATATAAAAATTCAAACGTACCTATGATGGCTCCGGCCTTTCCTGCCGCGGCTGATATTCCGTGGCATGTGGATCTCGGCCGGAACAATTTGGACCAAAATTTGCAAAGAAGAATGTTAGGGAGTAAATAATGACAAATCCAATGCGGTTGTCCGGTTTGATCCAATGGTCCAAATTCGGTTCTGATTTTTTTCTCAACCTAAAGAGTTCAGTAAAACTAAATAAATTAAATTAGTATTGTTTTATGAGTTCTGAATATTAACGTAAATGGAGATAAGAAAGACTATATATTCCTAAAAGATATATATATATATATATATATATATATATATATGTGGTCGTTGTTGACCATACATGTTATGTATAATTTGTTACAAGAGAGTCACAAATTTCAACTATCTATATATGTTCATATTATATTATTTTATATGTTATTTTGTCAGTGGACTTAGTTTTAAGGATTTCGCATAAAATCAGACAATATTGTACTAATTAAAAATCTATTCTGTCAATAAACAGCTACTTCCAGCAGTTTAAACATCCTCAAACTGCAAGCAAGAAGAATGTGACAATAATGATCCATAAAAAAAGATTTAATCCTAGAAAAAGAATTGTAAACCAGCTAACCCCAACCAATATGAAGTTTCTGCATAATTATGGTTGATGCAGCTGTGCCTGTAGTTGTGATAGCAGTTGTATATACAAAACTGGACCTTTACCATACAAGTTTCGACATTTGAGAAGCATTTTCTAAAAAAAGTAATTTAACTGGTTTTTCGAAAAATGACATTGATCTTTTGCGGTGTGGAATACTATAATATAATCATATATTGTTTTGGATTTGGATCCCAAATATGATTTTTCTAAACGATTACAAATAAGAAAAGTAAAAAACATACATACTGTAAGTTTTTATATTGGTTCACCTTCAACGTGAAAATTGCAACCATTTGCACCCTTATGTTTATTTTCTGTAGATACTAGATAAGCTTTTTTTAATCATTTTAATTTGCTTTATAAGACTATAACAATTAGAACTAGCTGTCAACAATAAATAAACAAAAACCCTATAGCAAACGATTAGGTACCTGAAATACCCAAAATTATTTGATAAACACCTTTAATTACAACAATTGTCATATGAACTTCTCTCCCCCTCACCCGCACCCCCATTAGTCGATAAATGTGATGATAATCGAATCAAGCAGCGGATCCGAGAAATTATGTTCCACAACTCAATATAGATTCGAAATATAAATTTTTGTTATGTAAAAATGTTGAATCATTCAAAATAGTACCATCAAGAGTAAACTGGTTGTGTACTTTGTGTGATTACCACATGGGTGTGTGATTTCCACTTGTTGTGTGAACGTCTTATTTTACTTGTTTATCGTTAAAATTTGGCTTTATAGGTTACGTTAGATTTTTGTTGTGTCTTAATTATATATAAAAATTAATGAAGAAAATTAAATTTAAATCTGGAGTAAGAGATGCAATATACCTTATCTTAATATTAAGTTTTGAAAGACGACAAAAAACAAAATAAACCTAAGTATTGAAAAGTCAACTAATCGCCATTTGTTACTCCTATTCCTTCTTATACCTTCTTACTCCATTGTAACAGATAATTGCAAAATTAGTTCTCTCGCATATTGTTAATAAATACTTTTTGGGTAAGTTAACTATCAACACACATATATATATTATCTTTATTTCTAAACTATTTATATTTATGGGAAAATTTAGTAGATGCCTTAGATAAATAGTGAAATTAGGAAAATGGAGCTAATAATCAAAAATAAAATTGATATAAATTATATATAGAAATTGTGACTACTTTGCCTTTATAATTATTTGATGCAGTTTTCGTAAATAATAATTTGATTACCATGCTAACTAATATAATCGTTAGCATATTGTATAAATATCGAGTTAACATGATAACTATTGTGTTAACGTTGCTATTATTTCATCAAAAATATGAATTAATTTTGTTAATTGTATAAGTTATGCAAAATTATCATGTTAACAATATTATCATAATATCAAAAAATTACCATACTAACATTGTGAACATGATAACTATCGTGTTAACGTTGATATCACCATCTTCTACCTCATCACTATCGTCATCATCACCACCACCTATAACCACCTCCACCACCACTGATCACTACCACCACCACTGATCACTACCACCACCACTACTATTGCCGGCATCGCCATCACTTCCGCCACCACCGGCTTATCATCACCAACATTATTGCCACCGTAATCACTACCGCCACCGACATCACCATCATCACCACCATCACCATCACTCCCGACATCGTCATATATCACCGGTGTGCTATCATCACCACCATTGTCACTATTTTTCTTTCTTCCGTTTCTTCTTTTTTACTTTCCTTTTCTTTTTCTTTTTCTCTTTCTCTTTCTTCTGATTAATAACAATAAAGAAATAAAGGTAAAATAGTATTTTTCTTGTCAACAGTATAAGCATAAAGTTGCTAGTTTCTGTCGTTTAATTTAGTGATTATTAAAGTCTATTTGTTATAATTTCTCTATATTTATTCGCTATTCAAATAATGCTGGTGAAAAAAAGTAGAAACAGAAAAAAATTATACCAAACTATCCATAGTATTAGATTTATTCTTAAAATAGTGGTGGCTTAACGATAGTATATGAGATTATTTTTTTTGTGTTTCGAGTTTAAACTATGTTTAAAATGGAGATATATTCTTAAAAATATTTAAAGTTACTTAAGAAGGAAAAAAAACTATACCAAATTACCCATAATATATATATATTAGATTTCATAAGAATTCTTAAAGTATCTTAAATAAATAAATAAATTATTATTTTAATATAATTAAAATTTATGATTAAATTTGAGTATAAAAAATATATATAAATCAATTAAAAGAGAACAAGTGTCTTTAGAGATTCTTAACATTTTTTAAAGTTTTTATTTAAGAACTCTTTTTCACCCTCTCTCTTTCTTTTTAATTATTATTATTTTACTAGGCTTTTAACTCCCGCTACGCGCGAGTCTGTATTAATAATTTGGTTTAATTTTTGGCTAATATCTTTTAAATTATCAAAACTATAATATATTTATAGAAATTTTATTTTATATAAAAAGTTAAAACATAATATGTAGTATTTCCTATTTTTGTTTATAAAATTATAAATCTTATTAAGTAAAATCATAGTAATGACACCTAACGAATTATCCAACTTCGATGTGCATATGTTTGATTTAGAAAATCATTTCCTTACTAAATTTTTGGTGTTTTGTTTTGTATCTTTAGGATTTCTATGGTTCTTTTTTTTAAAAAAAGTTTATATGTTTAAATATTTAGTTTCTTTATTAAATGTCTCACTAATGTTGTGTACATATACATATATAATATATGATATATGTTGATTCAGATTTACTTTTGTTAGTAAACTACATTAATCGTGTAAAGCTGTATTTTGCTTCTCCACCAGATCTTCTACGAATATTAGGTTATATCTCTATTTAGTTTATAAGATCTGTTTTATTTGCAGTCAACTATTTGCTAATATTTGTTTTTAAACATGTAAGATGATGTTGAGACTTCACATTATCACTGTTTTTTTTATCTTTTGTGTGTTTATTCATGTTTTGATTTGAATATTTTATCTTCATATATTCCCATTTGAATCATAACTTTGTCATATTATATTATTTAAATAAAATATTAGAGGATGTTGCTCATGTGTTGTTCATGTTGACTAAGTTATAAGCAGTAAATATGTATACAAATCAGACTTTATTACTTATTATATTTTGAATGTAAAATTACTTGTGTAGTATTTTACTTTGTTAATTTTTCAACCAGACGCAACCAAGGTATTAGTCTTTGTAAATTTAAATAATATGTTTAATTTAGAAACTTGTATAACCTATTAAAAATTTATATGGTTATTCATAGTCAACACCAATATTTTAGAAATCATGAATATTTTTAGAACTATATTTCAAACTAATTTTCTTCTTAGATCTTGTTTTTTGTTATTTTAAATATCTTCGATGGTAATTTTATATTTTATTTTAATTATCTAATTTTTTACAGGTTTGATATACTTAAAACATATATATTTTTAATTAATCTCTTTTGTTATTGATTTTTCAAATAGGTAGCATAT